ATGATAGCCATAAAGAAAAAGTACTGAAAGGCCTGAAATAACTGCAGCTCCAAGTATTTCTTTAAATGTTGGATGAAGTTCCTCATGTCTTAAATACATGGACATCATATTCATTCTGGGACGTTTGCGATTTTTGATTGATTTCATGTATCGTTCTCTTTCTGCGTCCATGTCACGTGTCTCCTCCAATGCTGTTTTTATCTCCTGACTTGCTGTGTTCATTATTTGAAGTCCTTTTGATTAAAAATTTCAAAAATGCTTTGAGTTATGGGCTTTATCTCCAAGCTATGTAGCTTTTATGCAAATGTCTTGAACTAAATAGACAGGAAGAGCTGTGACGTCACAGTGACGTACTTTTGAATATTCTAAAAAGGGGCGGGGCTTAAACTGGGCGGAGCTAACCTGAGTAGACTCCGTTTATAATAACACTGTTCAACTGCTGGAAAATACTGCCTATTGTTGTTATTTTAAAACTGTCTCAGTGTGAAATATAAATATTACATTTAGTTTTTCTGTCCTGGTGGCGTCCCACAGAACTGTATTGTACTGTTTCTGCTCACAGATATGACACAGGCTAGCTGCGGAAGCCACGTGACCCGGTGGATTTCTTCTTCGGTGGTGGAAAACTGTAGTTTTATGTTGTTGTCATAACGCCCCTTCGGTCTGAGGTGGTTTTACAACCAGACTTTATTATGTTCTTTATTTTTACATATTTATTTTATTTCATCTCCTCTTTATTTGCACCCATCTTTCTCTCTTATATGCAAGTTTGTTTTTCTTTGCACACTGTACCACTTTGTGTGTTCTTTAATAAAAAAGTTAAGTTGAACTTGCAGAGTTGTAAGTACAAATACTTCTTTACTGTACTTAAGTAGAATTTTTGGGTATATGTCCTTTACTTGAATAACTATTTTAAAACATAACTTTTACTTATACTTCTTACATTTTTAGACAGTTATCTGTACTTTCTACTTACTACATTTTTTTAAAAAATGGGTAAGAAGTAGAAAGTCTTTACTCCTATTTCATTACAATTTGTTAAAAATATTATCCTCCTGGATAGAGTGAATTTACAGTAATTCTGTTTGGA